TCAACGAGTTATCTCCGTGTGACCGAGTTACCGTAAAATCATCGAAAAAAAAATACAAGAAGATATGATAGCAATCCCGTAGAGATTGGGGGAAAAAATGAATTGTAACTTTTGATTACGCGCAGCGAAGATTATAATGTGCTGCAATTTGCCGCGACTTGAATTGTCATTTGCAGTTGTTGCGAATGAATTACAGTTTCACGAATTCCGCAACGGCATTTCATCGTTGCCATGGAAATTGCTTTGATGACGGTTTATTGGTTTCGTAACTAAATGTGATAATTAAGCGCAGTAACGCACATTGCGCGTATTACACCGATGCGAGTTGCAATTTCAAGCGAATAATAGTACGAAAAATACATTTTAAGGAGAAAAAAAAGAAACGATATCATGATGTTTTATCTTTATCTCTTACGCGTATCGTAACAGTACGAATTAACGGGACAAAAAAACAGACCATGCTTCGCGAATGCGACTAGACGATTGCATTCGTCGTCGCGTTTGGCGAATTCTTTTCTGTGAGATCTTTCGAAACACCGTTCGCGAAATTAAAGCAATTGCTACCTTCTATTCACAGGAGTCATTACGTCGAATTGATAAACGCACGCAAGCACCGACTACGACAATTGGTGCATTAAAGAAGACGAGGCGCGATGTCAACGACCTGTAGATAATCGTATATAGATGAAGGCGTGACATCAGAGAGGAAGATAAGGGGTCACGGATAAAGTGGTCGCTTTTTTTTACCGCTCTAATCAGTATATTTTTCTCTTAGCGTGAGAAAAGATTATTATTTTGATTAACATTCGCGGTTACATTAATGATGATTAAATAATAAGAAAAATATTTAATACTCGCTATAATTATCTTAATATGCCCGTTATTAACGATTTTTAAAATTAGAACCGTCTACTGGTTATTTTGCTTTGGTCGCACTTTATCGTACTGCACACGGCGAGATATCGAATAGCACTAGTTTAGACACTAATTAACGTCATTAACGGGATAAACTGTGCGCTCTTTACTGCGCTGTGGGCTTTAAGGCTAAGCTAAGCGAGCTAAATTCCGCGCTCCAATACGTAATTAATAGTTACTTTAATGCTTGCGACGAGAAAAAATATTTACAGAGGAATAAAAAATGGAACACGATAAAATACTGATTTAATTTTCGATAAATTTTTAACTGACATTATAATAAAATATCGCAGAAAAATAAATGTGCTTCTCGTTTACAGAAAGTTTCATTTCTAAAACAAAATGTTAATATATTAAAATAAAGCAATCGACGTTATTCCATAAAGTGAAGATTTATACACATAGATATATAGATATAGAACATTCATCGTCCATCTTCAAGTGCGTTATCAACGAGATTGCGCGATATGAATTATTTTCAAAAGTGCAAATGAAATCAAAGATTCAATTCGCGCTCCAATAGAGTTTGTATATGAAGCACGTATGAGCCATTCGTAATCGCTTGATCTAGGAATAATATTTATTGATCCGATCAAGATTCCCGAGAATTTTCAGCCTCTTCTTTTCCACGTATATTTCTCTTCTCTTTTCTTATTTGTAATTTTTCGTAAAAGTTTAAACTATCTCTCTACAACAAATGTAGTAAAAATTAGTCGCGTTAGAAACTCGAATTATATCGAATTTAGTTTCGAGAAATAATGATTTTAGACAGATGAAAAATAAAATTTCATTTATTCCTTATTCTCTTGATATCTGACACCGGTTCCGCGATATCTGGAGAACTACTGCAAAGTAGAACGTTCGATAATATCCCTTGGAAATTGACCGATGTGTGAGAATGTAAGATAGTTATAGAAGAGAAGATGTATATACTTTTGAATAATCTAATAAAAGCGATCCAATGAAATTGGATAATAAAATATTTTGCAAAAAGAGACGAAAAGAAAAGAGATAAATATAATCACAGTAAGTTGTAAAATTAATATACAAAAAAATACTGAAATAAAAATAATTAACGTGACATGACGCGTCTTTCTGTAATAAAATAAATTCATAATCAATATGCTGTAAAATCGTTTTAAATTACTACGACGTATTTGGTGTGCATTCAAAGATAGAGAATGATGTCACGAGAGCATGATATTATATATATTGCACAATAAATAAGTCACGCACCTGTCACCCACATAAGAAATCTTGTGCAAATCTAAAAACGTAATAATAAAAATCATCGATTACGATATATTATCGGTTGCTATCCGAGCTCTTGATGATCGATCGTCAACTTCGTCGACGTTGCAAAACGTATAAGAATAACATAAAGATGACAGACATCAAGGAATCAATAAGCAATTCATTATATATACGTCGAAAGAATTTCATATATGTCGTAAACATACCTATAAAATACCGTAGTATATGAGTTTTTTAATTTTTAATCGCTTGTAACTTGAAAGATTTTAAAGTGTCATTATTAAAATAATCATTATTACGACCATATTTCTGAAGAGTCCTAAATATTTTAATTTTCCATGTTTCTGAGGAGTCCTAAATATTTAAATTTTCAATTTTTTTTATTCTTCTAGTTAACTTATGTTATTTTTTATGTATTAAGAGTAACATGACAAAGAAAAGAAATATATTTTATCTATAATGAATGTCTATTTTTTCGCTTTACAAAACTATTTTAAGATATTATGGACAATGCGCCCGAGTAAAGCCATAGTGTGCGATTTATTTGTAAAAAAGGAATACACTTGTTTACACTTACCTGCTTACACTTTATTATAGAGATGCAATGTTGTAACTCTCATAAAAACGATAGATGCAATACTTTATACATATAATCACTTTGTAATAAATCAGAAAAATTACCGGCGTAAGAGCGCTTTCTAAAAAAAATATGTAACATCTGTTTACAACACGTAATTTTATCTTTATTGAAAAATTAATGGAATGGAAATTTGATGTTGCCTACCACATTTTTTTTATAACAGCTTGGTCTTTTTTTTAATTCTGAGACTCATGTATAAGATAATCAAACTTATTTATGATTGACAACGTATTTGTATTCCCTTATACAATGGAACAGTCTCTGATAACTATTGTATAATATGTATGAATAATTATTACAAGCACGACACACATTTTATGATAATTCGAGCTGATATTTTCTCTCATCTTAAAACGAAAATGTGCGCCGATTAGTAATCTTATCTCAAACAAGGACGTTCGCGTGTATTGCACTTTGTGAAATAGCGTAAAAGAGATTTGAAATTATAATCCACAAATTATTACACTACGATAAATCATTAAATTACGACCATTTATTTTGGCGTATGAATCGCGATAAACTCATATATTAATCAAAATAAATTGCAGTGCAAAATTAGTTTCTCGTTAATGTATGCAATGCGTTGCACATTGCGTCAGCGATTCTCGAGCACGAAATGTGATTCGAGTGTTATTATTAGATTACATTAAAATTCATATAACGACGAAACAACATTAGTATAATCCATATAGTTAATAATTGACATCAGTGATAATTAGATAATTAATTAAAGCTCTGGATTATATTGGAAACTGCATTTCCTTTGTGGCTTTTAACAGCGCGGAAATTCATTCGTTATTTGCATAAAAGTGCCCATTTATATATCGAATGACATTAATAACCACGCTAATTAGATGCTTTAGAATCGCGTGATAACTTGATCATTGGCGCCATCTGGAAATTGATATTGTAATCAATATCCTTTTCTATATCCCATACCGATAAGATAAAAATTTAAAATATATGCGAAGAATAAGCTAGAGATAAAAGATAAAGGTATTTTAGTTTAATATTATTTTTTATAATAGATATAATAATTTATCAAAAATATATAGAAAACTGAAGAATATAAGAAAATGAAATAATCAATGTTAACTGCAATCCTCGTGTAGTCTTTTCTAACACGGGTACTGACAGATTTTATTAAAAATATTTTCAAAATATCTGTCAAAAGATCCACGTACATTTACTCGATCGGCAATGCAGTTATCTCTATAGATATGTAGAACCATAATAAAGAAATATATTTCAACCAGAACCAGATAGTCATAATACTCACGTTTAATTATAGTAAATTAAAGATCATGGGGAACAAGTAAACCGACTTGACACCCGGTATAATGTGAACCAATTGTCAGGACCGATTTCGTTACCGACCATTGTCAATCAGCTGGCGAGATCATTGACATTGTTGGCGCCAATGCGATGACCCAGATTTTGCGGCAACATTAACCGATTCGTTTTTCATGTCCTACTTTTTATGACCACGATTGCGAATAAAATAATTCAGCTATCCATGCCAATCTCTAAAGAAAAAAAAATAAAATAAAAATAAGAATAAAAAGAAAAGTCGCGCATATTTACTTTAACGCATTGCCGATCGTGCATTACGCGACATAAATTGTTTCATTTTTATGACGCTCACATGCTTCATTTATGATTTTAATAAAAAAGTTATAGCTGATGTTATTACGAGATAAAAATATTACAATCAAAATTCGAATATATTTCAAATAGCATTATTTCGTAATAAATAATAAAAATAATAACATTTCACAAAGATGACTTATCTTTGCAAACAAAAAGAGATCGATTATATTTTAAATAGTCATTATCATTATATTTAATATATGACTTATCTTTATTTATCTTAAAACCGATTTTACTTTGTCTATCAGTGAATCGCATAAATCACATAAGATAACCATAATGCTGCATCGATGATAAAATCGATGATATAATATATACTAAGCCATAAAGTTTTCTACAAAATCATTTTCACAAATGCTAATTAATATTAACCATAATGATTTGATTGAATTTCCGTCTCTTTCTTTGAAAACACAAATAGAAAGATATACAGGACTAATAAGCCAAATTTTAATTAATTTTAATTAACATTTGAGAGAATGATTAATGCAATTTGATATACTAATCTACGAAAGCAATTGACGCATGCAAAATTACTTACCTCCGAAAGAGGGACGAAGGCACTAGGTCCATCGAAAGCCGGCACTGGTACTGGAAGTCCTCTATCCTGTGACAAAAAGAAAAATTACGTTTCCTACTGTACTATATTCGTATCTAATATCAAGAAAACTAGGAAAAAATACAACGGACTCTCGACAGCCCGGCTAGCTCAGTCGGTAGAGCATGAGACTCTTAATCTCAGGGTCGTGGGTTCGAGCCCCACGTTGGGCGATTTCTCTTTTTTGTATTTCAATGATTTGTATTTTACCGTAAATAGTCTGTATTTAAAAATCACCAAAATATATATATATAGCTATTATATATTTATTATTTTATTCATCATTTTCGTAAAATATATATTGTAAAATAAAAGCTTTCTTTTAGTAAAAAACAGAGTCAATAAATAATTTGTTGCTACAAATACACGAATACAATATTAAAATAAATATATCACTGAATAATTTAACTTTGTTGCGAAATAAAAATGTTTTTATCATATAATTGTTTTTGAGATATTAATCGAAATATAATTTTCAAATATTATCAATTTATAATAAAAATTGTACTTAAAATAGAAATTAAAAAAATATTAAAACTGAGGGAATAAGCGACAGATGGATTTTGATATTATCAATTACTTTTAATTTATAATTATAGTACAATTAAAACTGAGTATCATTCAAAAAATAATAACTTGATTAATTATATTTCATATTTTTTATATAAAAATAAGAATTTAGATAAAATGTTTATTAATAATCTATTATATCACAATTAAAATTTTACTTTTGTAAATTCGTATTTTATTTTCTTCGCATTATTAGAAGAACATTTTTATTTCGACATCTATCTTATCTATAAAAGAATCAAGTACGTTCAACTGAAATAACATAGATTGAAACTTTTATGGAACAATGCTCTTATTGTTAATCTAAATTTAGTTGAACATATCTATTATATATTCGAAAATAAAAAAAGATAAAGAAATTAAAAATATTTCATAAATTTTACATGCAATTATGAATGTCACAATATGATACATTGTATTTTTGTAAAACCTTCTTTTCCTAGCTTTCTGTTTCTGTCGACTTCGTGCCTGAAAATTGTTCTGCACTATGTATAAAGCTTTACACACAAGTCGTATCGATCGACCTCGAGTGTGACAATATCGGTGAGCATAACTGTCGGCCAAAACAGCGGATTCTACATTCACGGATGATAATATATTTTTTTTGCCTTGCTATTATCAGAGACTAAATATCAATACGTTTCTTATATTATTCTTTCCTACATCCGTGTATCTTACTCTTATTATATATATATATATATATATATATATATATATATATATATCGAAAATTGTAAAAAATGATCGTATTGTTTATATGCTATTAAAATAAATAAAATTACAAATTCATTTATGAGCTTGTTTATAATATATGTATATACATTCAGAGAAAAAACGAGAAATAAAATTCATATAAGAAAATTTTTCATCCCTTCTTAAAGAGAATTAAATCATTTTTCCAAGAATTAATTATAATGGTACAGTTTTCGAAATTTGTATTAAAAAAGCACAATAATACACGCTTCTTTGGCCTTCTCGAGAAGCTCAAAAATAGCCGATTATTTTTCCAGTTTACTTTCATCCTACTATTATAAACGAATGAAATTCAAATATATTATTGTACACAATGTCATTTCTTGCGAAAGCTGGGAAAAAATGACACTAAAATAATATGAAGTTACCGGTCGGAAACATTTTTTGAAAGCCTTTCAATCTTACAACATTCTGCGATTTGCCTCTATTTCCGTCTCGGTTACTTGAATATTTGCAATGCATTGCGTGTTCGTTCGCTCGTTCGCTCATTCGTTCGTTCGTTCGTTCCGTTCTGACACTAACTAGCGCGCGAGTTTCGCTAGTATTGTCAGGTATTTCTTTTAACGGCACACCGAAGTACATGGATTAGTCCAATTTGCCACGGTCCTTCGAAAAGATTAACTGCCGTCGTAATAAGATTAATGACCGTCGTGAAACTATTCGGTACGAGAGAAAGAGCAACTCTCGCGATAGGCCAAAGTTGTGCTTCAACCGCGAACTACCTAGGTACAGGATATTTTTAGCCCGCGGTTCAAACGCCTCCCCAAATAGCCAGTCAAAACAAGTCCATTAATATAACCGACAGTTACTCCTATCCGGTTTATGTTTTATGCATAAGCACATCTTGCTCTGGATTATTCCCACGCACTCATTTTTTTTACAACTTATGATTTGAAGTAATCATTTTGTTCGTCGTCAAAGATTATCCAGATCTCAAACACAAAATTTTCAAGCTACTTCCCATGACTAATTGCAATAATGTATAATATTATAAAAAAATCAAATTCGTCTAAAGAAACAAAACTTGAGCGCGAAAATTGAGCAGCGGTTACTTCCGGAATGCGTGAGCAGCTGCCACGAGAGACTCCGTAAATCTGTCTCCTAGTAGTTTATTTATTAAGAAAGCTATAAAACAATGGCGCGCATTAAGAGCGGAGATACAAAGTCAGAACAGCGTAAGAATCGCGCCCGGCAGTTACTCTTTGCGAAGGACTCGAATAAATTGCCACAAAGCTGGAGAGATAAAGCTTGAAATATTCTGGACAATCTCAATTCCGCCGCGGAATGTGTATAGCATATCTCAGAATAATTGTGCACTTCCTCTTCGAGACATGAATACCGGAGTTTGCTCCAAAATTAGGCGGCATTAGTGATTTCCAAGATATATATATATATATATATATATATATATATATATATATATACATTAATTAAATAAAAATTAATACTTTTTAAATTAAGCTATATTTTGTAAAATTCAAATGAGATGTGCATATTTTCTTTTTTTTTCAATTTTAAATATGCATATTTTATTATATGTTATATTTAAAATTATATATTTTTTAAATATTGAATCATTGAAGATAATTTCTGCAGGAAATTCTAGCATATAATAAAAAGTTTTATAATAATTTAAGTCTTCATTCGCGTTACGAGACTTGTGTAAATGATTTCGCGTCATAAAGCTAGATAGTTCATCCTAAAGACAGGTGATATACCTAAGATATTCCATATGTATGCGTCGGTATGTTTCTTTGTGTTCGCCGTTTTCAACTTTTGTCTCGTGTTACCTAATAAACTTTACAAATATATATACAAGAGCGAATGTTCGAGCTAGTGCAAACTTTAGTGAAACCCTTGCGAAAGAATTTCGGCCGAGTGCACGCGAGAGTGCAAACTTCGCGGTCGCGTTAATATCTGCTTCGTCGAGACTTCGCGAGCGAAATCTCGCACAGCCCATATCTAGACTATCCGTTATCTCTTGCACCTTGTTTCGCTAAGATTTTTTTTTCGGAGTTCCGGAATGTCGGAATGTCCCGTATACTCAAGGCATACAGCGGTATTTAATTTCTGTCAAAGGATAGATAACCACGGGCAATAAGAGGTTTTCTTTTCATTTTCGCAACTTCCTCTATTATAACTTTTAAAAAAAGATAAGATTAAAAAGGAAATTTCTGTATTTCACGGAAAAATCAATCAATTTGCTAATTAACTTTCATAATTAAACTAGCTGCAGAAGCATTACATTAACTTGTGTCACAAAATTAAAAAAATATTAAATATTATTGTATGTCGGCGGAAGAAATTAAGTAATTTTTACCTTGACCATCTGAAGGATTTCCGCACACTTGATCCTGACGTTCTGAAAGGGACAGTTGACGCTAAGCCTGAGTATCACCGGCAGGTGTAACGTCACCAAACTTAGATATTTGTTAGCCTGCGCCTGTCTGGGTCCGTCCAGGGCGTTACCGAGATTCAGCATCCTGCCAACGTCGCCGGGCGTTACTTCCGGGCTCTCGAGCACTCTACCGCTCTTCGTGGACACATCTTCGTCCTGGGAGAGCGGCCTTTTGATCTGGCCGGCGCTAAACTTCCTCTCGTCGTTCTTGCGCAGATAGTCCTGCTGCTGCGTCCGATTACGAGGATCCTCCGGGTTATCCTCGTAGCCCGCCGCTGTCTCGCGGCTTTCCAGACTCATGTCCTGACGGTAAGACGGCTCGTTCTCGTTCTCAAAACCGTCGAGTGTGTTGAAGACGACCCCGTCATTACGCGCCGCCTCGCTCTCGTTGAAGGACACGTCGTCGTCGGTAGCATCATAGTATCGGCGCTGCTCGTGCGTCAGCAAATCGCCGCTGGCGGTGATTTTGGCTCGGCGATTCCGACAGTCGAACGACGCGAAGCCGCTCAGATTGTCGTCGAACTTGGGACTCTTGCCGTACACCCGGGTGTCCGCATCGAGCTCGTCATCCTCGAGCTGCTTCTGCTTGGCGCCCTTTAGCTTGGCGTAATTGTTCTTCGTCCTGCCAGGACAATAGTCGTCGCTCGTCGATCTGTCGCTCGACGACGAGCCGGGATACTTTCGCTCGCTCTCGCAGTTAGAGCCGAAGCGTGGGCATCTGCCCTCGATGTTGAAGCCCTTGCTACTTTCATCGGAGGACGTTGAATGGCCGGACCTGCTCTCGACCCCGTCGCTGTATCGCTCGCGGAATCGCCTCTCGTTCAGAAGACGGCCATCCACGCAATCGTACGAGGACTCCGGATTGTTCTTCTCGAGAAATGATGCCGAATTATCATTCACGCTTTGCGGGAAGAAGCCCTCCGTCTGGAACGTATCCTGCAGCAGCTGGTGCTGATGCACGCTCCTCGGCGATGACCTCATTGGCGACCGCTCGACACTCATGTCGTATCTTCAATCAAACATGAAATATCGATTAAAAGCCAAATAAATGTATGTATATATAGTATGTATGTGTCTCCAACTTTTGAGTTACTATCGCCATCGAATAACAGCTGTATAATATCAGGAATCATTTATAATTTTAAAATAATGTGAAACGAGTTAAATATTACGTATTAAAAATATACAAACAACACAATCCAAAAAAGAGAGATAGTTATATGTTTTTCCAAAGTTGTTATTACTGCTCAAATATTACGATTCATCGGCAATTCATCTTCACACAGACTTTCATTTTCTCACAAATATTTTTAATTATAATCATGTTATGTAATAATAAGACTTTTTTTAATATTTCAACTTTTATATAATTTATAATGATAAATATATATTCTCTCGAAATTATTTAAAAGAGTTAAAATAATTCCGCGAGAAATATTCCGCAACTTTAGCAACAAACGAAGGCGATTTATATAAAAAAATTTTATATAAAAAAAAGGAAGATACTGTGCAGATTTCTTTCTCTACAATAGTCCTTGCAGTTATGCTTAAACGAATATAATTTCTCCTGCGTGTTTATTATTAATCCTCGTAACGTGCACATTTTAATGAACCGCTCGTGATTATTTAAGTACCGCGTTCACGTCGAGTTTTACGTGTTTGCGTGACTGAATGCTGATATTAAATCCAGAACCAATAATTTGCCAAGAGTGCACGGAACGAAATGTTTGCACCGATTAAACATGTCCGTTCGATCAAAATTATGATACGCAAAGTCAAATTATTTTAAAAAATATTAAACGATATGTATTGTACGCATATCATTTGTTATTTGATAAATCGTTAATTGATAAATCATTAATTAATGATATTGATAATTGATACCGGTAAACAAAGTTGTTCAACAGATTGCATAATTTTAACACATCCCAACAACACGCCCGTATTTATTTAATAAAACAGAAAATGGAATGACTGAGAATTTATTACAGCATATCCAATTAAACCTAAATACGAATGAATGAAGGCATGCAACGGCGAACATATATAGTTTTAAATTTTAACGGGATTGTAATCGAAATACCGTAATCTAACATTATACATTGGTCCATTTATCCATAAATACAGCATGAAAAAAATACAAATTTAAAAACAACAGGTTGAGTAAAAAAAAAAGTAGAATTTAATTAAATTGATTACTTTTTTTGCATCAACTCAATATAATTTTACCCAAAATAATGAATGTTTTTGTTATGTGTATCTTTACTACTAACCAAAGATATAAAAGCAAAAAGCTAAAAGAAAAGAAAGCTATTTTATTTGATTTTAATTGCAATAAATGCGGATTAAATAAAGAAAGCTTTGAAAAAACGATATCAGAAATATAAATATATTCCTCGTCTGGTTTAAAAAATCAAATAAAATGTAAAATCGAATATATATCATACGTTTCCAACAATTTGATATAATTCTCCAAGAAAAGGGGGAAATAAACGATATTTTTTTTTTTTTATATAACGAGCATTTTTAGATAGTTGGGCAACGACACACTTACCTTCCGTCTTGACCGGAGAACTTGCCAGTCGCGGTCTTGGTGTCCTCGATGTCGCTGGCGTCCTCCCAGCGATTCGGACTGCCGACGCTGCCCAGCCATCCCTCGACGGTGGTCCTGGCCGCGGCCAGGGCGATGTTCCTGGCCGCCTCGTCCCTGGCGCAGAGCGGCGCCAGGAACCTACTGACAAGCTCGACCTCGTCGCCCTTGGTGGAGGCGTTGCTGCCCGACGAGCTGTTCGGCTCTTGGTACATATCCCGCGCACGTTGTTTTCCTTCCGTCCGATCCTTCCAGGATCCTTCTTGCCTCGAAGCAATCGCGCGGAGTGTCGAGGCGCCCGCGCGCTCGGCTCGATTCCCAGGATAAACAGCGCGCGCGATGGAACGACGGGATATCCTATATTTTTCTTCCTTCCGATTCGCCGTTTCCCCTCTTTTGCAGGGGCACGATACTTCTATTTTGCGAGCTCGTCGAACGATCCTCCCTCGAAACGATCCGCGCTGGTGCTGCAAGAAGAAATAACGGTCATCAAAGACCTGTGTCATCAAAGCCTCCATTTCCGTTTTATTAATCCCGATCGCGTAGATTACTTTGCGTTTAAGGTCGACTAGGTCCCCTGTTTCTTTCAAAGAAAAGAAAGTGAAACGCGAACGAGAATACGTACAATCGTCGACTCTATAATCGCGTTATTCCCACCTGACTCGTAAATTTTCTCTTTAACCTGACGGAAGAAATGTTAAGTTTCCTTACTATTGCGATTTTTTACGCAAGGAGAGATATAGGTAAGTCGTTCGCTCTCTTTACAATCTCGTCTAAGTTTTTCTATATTAAAATCGTAGGTCCTTTTTCGATCGCAGGAAGGACCATTTCGTGATCGCGTCTTCGCCGATCGATCCATCGTTTCGATCGATTGCTCGTCGATGCGATTAAACAGGGCGTTTTTCCAGGGCCTTTCCTCCTCCAGCCGGCGTTGAAAGAAAGGATCGAGGAAAGGAAAAAGGAAGGAGAGTAAATCTCGCTGCTATCCTCGCGCAATTACGCTCGTTTCGTCGCGTTTCGCCATAAAACTCGTTTCTCTCGGAGGATTTTACCGAGACGGCTGCACCTCGGGATACGTTTCAGGGCGATAGAAAGTAGGCAAGGAGGCGTCGGCCGCGATCTATCGAGATTCGAGTTCGAGCGGAGAGATGTTGGGAAAGGAAGCGCGATTCTCTGACGAACCTCAGAGGAAACGATCGACCGGGAAAACGTTTTAACCCGATCGGATCCGATCGACTCGCGCCCCTCTTTCTCTCTCTTTCTCCGCTTTTGTCTCTCTTTCCTATTTTTCTCTTTATCTCTTATCGCCGTTTTTTTATCACGCGCGATTTGCTTTTCTCTCTATCTCTGTTTTTTTTTTTTTCGTGTCAACGCTGTTACGCAATCACCGACCAAATTACATTTTCCTTTACCGTCACCGCACGCGTTCTCCATCGAATCTTTCGAACGAAGCTTCCGAACGAATCATCTAATCTCGCGTTCATCCCACGTTGGGATTCATCCACGGGATACCTGAAGGGAAGACAGCAGGGATAAATTACACGTAAAATAAAAAAAGTGAAGAAAGTTTCCTGTAGACGAAAAAAAAAGTCAAGAAAATTCCTCAACAGACGAAATCATTTTTCTCCGGCCCGAGATTCTCTCCTCCGCGAAATGGACGTGAATAAAACTCGGAAAGTACCGCGGCGCATTAAAGCGAAATGATCGACGTCGATCGGGAAAGAAGGAAATGAAATTGCGCGCGGCAAAAAGACAGATTATAATGCGAGCAAAAGCGCGCACTCGCCGAGTGATTTCATTCGTATTGAACTTCAATTTACCGTCGGCCTAGCTCGATCAATCTTACGCTCTTATATGCCAAACGGATCTAATACGTTAGCGACGTAAGAGGGCCACCTCTAATAGGGAAACGCTTTTCAAAACTGTAATAACCGGTGAATTATCGGCCGTGCATTATGCAACGGCAATCGAGAGTCCATAATTCTTGCGAACCTTGAGGAAACCAGCATTTCGCCGATCGCATAATCGAATCTCGAGTCGATCGCTCGCAATCGAACGCTCAATCAATTTTATCTTGAAACGGATTAATTTTTTGACATCGATTTAATTTACAATTACTGTCGCGTAACACAAAAAAATTATCAAGTATGTAATATATACGCAATGCGCGTCGGACATTTGAAAGCGTGATAGAAATAAGCATTTTATCATTATACAGAGATTTATAAATCTGCTTCGCTGGCATTGCTGACTAATGTCCAATAATTCAGAGTGATCAGCTGAGTTAACAGATTACGAGCTAACAATATACTGGGTGTCCCGATTCTACGTTGAACACGAATAATCTTTCGTGATTCTAGCTCAAAATGGCACTTAATTAATTGCTACGTTTTATCAAGATCGGATGATTAATCAATATCATAGTTCGAGTTTACAATTTGATTAATCGATTGCTGTGCAAGAAAGCCTGGGTCAAGGTTCCGGGGTCAGAAAATAAGAAAGGTCGCGTCACGGTAGCAATTTATCGAGGGATCACGAAAGAATGAAATATCGAAAGGAATAAAGAAACATGCGCTCTCGCATGGAAGAGAAAATCAATACGACAGTCAGTTTTAGCGATGAAGCGATGTTGGTGGAAAATGTAAAAAAAAAAAAAAAAAAAAAAAGGAAATAATGAGAGATGCCGCTCTCAATAATGTATAAAGTGGCAAAAGTAGAGACGCGAGAAATACAGAAATTCTCTCTCGATCCTGAAATTCAGTCTCACGGTGCACTTGCGCGATTGCGTAAACGCACATTCGCGCATTTATTATTTCATACGTGCATTTTCTTATTGCGTAAACCGTGGAAAAGGCCTCGGACGAGCAAGTTACACTCTCGACGATGTTTCGTCAAAGAGAATATCCGCAGAGGGAAAACTATTTCTGTCTCCTCTGAAGCTTCGGCTTGAAATTCACTCTCGCTCGGTCGCAGCCGAGTAATCAACTTATCGAATTCATTATCGAATCGATATAAATACATTTAAGATGCAAATTATCACGAATTATACCGATCGGGCAAGCGATGTTTCTCAAATCCTCAAATCCTCAAATCCTATTCGAGATGCGTATGTTAGGCGTATGATTTTTGCAAACCCGTTATTGGATGATTAATGATGTTTCGCGGTGTAACGCTTTTATAGGTCGAGGTATAATCCACTTAGCGCGTACATACAACGTTTAAGTTCCGATATTAAGTGCGCTGCACTTTTACCGCGATTAACGACGATTGATTATATTCTTTGCCATAAAACTAAGAGTCTATAAGACCACGTTTATAACCGATAATGTATGAAAATACATACATTATCATGCAAACAAAGAGAATATAATTTTCTAAACTCGGTCACTCTCTCAATTGTGCGTTTCCTCTCTATTTCTGTTCTTGCAGAATTTACATTTACATGACATAGTTTAAAAGACGTAAAAAATATGAGATACTTTTCATAAGAAAAAAAAAATGATTCAGATTTCTCGTTATTAATTAGAAAAGAAAGAAAGAGAATCGAAACTGCTATTAATTTTTGAAAGAAGCTCAATTCCAATTTTTGTCTACTTAAATATATAATAAAAATTGTACAGTGAATATCGGAAGGATTTTATTATTAGATGTATGGATTTATATAAGCGAACAATGATTGACTGATATTTATCCGCTTTGCTTCTATATAATCAAGAAAATGATTGAACATAATTAGAAACAGTCTAGATATATTCAGATTCGTAATCTCTCATTCCCGCAAGTTGTAACTCTCTCGCACGACTATAAAAAAACTATTAAAAAACCACTATAAAAAAAAAATCGTCGAGTACCGCGAGATAATGTTTCTCTCGAGATAATTTTTGCAAAAATCTAAGAGATTGTAAATGATAAAATTTCCTTATAAACAATAATTCGCGCGTTATTAAAAAAAACATATCAAACCAGTTTATAACCGGCGATAATCATAGCGGTAATAACAGTATTCCATTCCTCTTTGTGCGCTACGTAAAGTAAGAAAATGACCGCAATAATCATTGTGTTTATCCGAGCAATAATAGTCCGTTCTTGGAAATTAACAGGAAACTGCGAGACGGGCGAGGGTATTTAACGCGTGACATCACCAGTAAACGCAGACATGATTTCATTTAAAAAGTTATACGCTCGTTTTAACGTACGTATTTAACTTGACAACATTTCCGACAAGCGATCTGTTGCCTCGATACGCTAACTCTAATAAGAATACTCGTAAATACTGGAGATCTCGGACAAGATATATTCATTATTATTATCATATATTATTACATAATTACTATATCATTATGTATATTATATTATTATGTATCGCGTGAAACTCTAATATCTCATATCGTCTCTTTTTCGGAAATAATCCTAAATAATCCCTCTCCTTCTCTCTCTGGAGTTTGGTCCACTATCTCGTCATCTCGCTGCACCTTCTCATCGCGGTTCGTCGTCTTCTTCTTCTGGCTCCGCTCCCCAGGCGTCCGAGCGCGCGATATATATCTTCATGACGATCTAAATATTTATAACGCCCAGAAGCCTTAACCCCACCACTCCACGAGGAGTATGAATTATTAATGCCACGGCTTGCCGTGCTACCGCATGCTCGCGCCGTGCATTCGCGATATGCCGTACACACTTTGTCTTTCGAGATATAAAGATGGTCAGGGCACGCCGAGGAGAACGTGCGAGGCGATAAAGCGGTCGCGACCGACTCGATTCGCTTGAGCGAATTAAACGAAACGGAACCAGAAGCGGATTAACGTCCCACCCTGCCCCGCGGAATAATATATCTCGTCGTAATTTCGCGCGCGGAATTTATTCCGCGCCGTCAAAGAGCGTGTTTTACGAGTGGATCGATGACCGAGATGGAAAGAGAGAAAGAGAGAGATGCACACACTCCCGCAAGATCGCATCTCCTCTTCGGTAACGACTGCTTATTTACGAGCCCGACGACGCCGACGTCACAGATAGGATTAACTTGAGAGTGGCAGTGAATTCACGCGTTCCTTCCTCGCCGTAAGCTCTTCATGAGATTACTATAGATTGAGGATTTTCCACGTTTCTTTTCCCCCATTTGTGGAATTTTACGAGATCGATATGAGATATAGATTCTTGGATCTCCCTCGTAAAAATCGATCCCTCTTCTCTTATAAAGTTCGTTTTTTCCGTTATTTTTTTCTTTTCTTTCTAAATTTTATACACAGAGAAAAGTATCATTCTAATACTGCCAAGAAAAGCGATTACTCAGTTTATTTTTCTTTTTTTAAGTAATAGTTTTCTTCAACAAAGAATATATTCTTGATAATAGTCTTAAAATATACTCATCACAAGTATTAGAAAATCATTATCATGTACTCGAAAGAAGAATTTATTTTCTCTTCAAGAAGATTGTAAAGTTGTATCAAAGAAAAATCAAACTTACTTT